TAACAGAATGCAATCATTTTAGGTGACTTAGTAGAGGACTACTTTTATGTTTTCGTTGGCTTTGGATAATACACATTTACGGTTGGCCGTCGAGTAGGAGGAACGGAATTTTTGTTAGGTATGCAATCATGTTGAAGGTAGAATACATGTAAATGCAGCTGTTTACGAGAACCTCCTCAGTCAGTTTAACATATAGCGGACAGAATCACGGCCTTTGCCGGTAGCAGTCGGGCGCAGAAACAATGTGCCATTGGGAGAAAGTTACGGCGGATTGGGTAATAAGTTGGCTGGCTTCGGTAGGGATTCGTTGAGGGTGATATATCTCCTAAACAAATACGAGAATAATATGAGCCTACGATTTAGTCTGGGGGTGATGCGATTAACTTTGATGTAAATCATCTTGAGTGTGACTTATTCAAAGTTTGATCGAAATGGACTCATAAATGAAGTGCATTTTCATAATTGTTGGGATCAAGGTCCTGTTATACTTAAATATTGGGGTATTTCTATGCTACGAAACAAGTTAATGTTTACAAACCTCCGGACGCACATCCTTTTGTCTAGTTAGAAGGGACTGAGAGTAAAAGAATAGACAAGTCCGCAACTTCGCACTTTTACTCAGAAGTACGCAGGATTATTGCGAAGAAATGAAAATGCCTGAAACACTAATTCAGCCCTAGCAAACTTAATTTCTCACCAAAACGCAAAGCAGTTACGCCAAATGAGTCCGTAACGTTTCAAGATAGGGGTCTAGATTTGGACAACTGCTGATGCTTCAGGGTTCGATGACTGTAACTGACAAACCATCAACAAAAATTAATGTTTCTAGGAACGCCGCATAAGTCATTCAACCCAATCGTGAAGAGACGGCGGCCTCGATGTGGTTCGAATTCTGAACAGAAAATGCACAGCTTCACTACAATCCACACGCTAACCCCTTTAACTTCGAGTCCGTGACCGGGAGTCTTGAGTTAACTTTCCTTCGGATCAAACTAAACGCCAGGTGTATGACAGTGCACGGACTCCGCGAATTCCAATACAGAAAGTTGACTAGGGGAATTTCTTAATCAATCCACAAAGAATACACTAGATAACTACAAGTGTCATTTTATAAAAGGACGGCTTTTGGCAGTTCTGGCAGTTTTTGGCAACTTTGTGATCTTGGTGGCATTCGAACCCATGGCAAAAGGAGCAAGGCTCTATGAGTTTCCAATGGGGAATTGTATCTTAAACCATACTTGACTCAAGGTAACCCCCAAATTTACTGTGACGAATGGAATCCGCCAGAGCTGATGCAATAGGTTGACTCTCCAGAATGGAATTTCCTAAGCAGACCTTCTGCGTTTTGCCTCGTTCTCACAGTTTAGAGCTAGGCTGCCAGTGGCGGTGAGGTTCTAGATTGCAGGTTAAGGGAGAAAAGTGACGGGCACCCCCCACATTGTAACGAGATCGGGAAACGACATTACATACTTCTTATGTTCGGCGGAAACTATTTGCGTTCCTTCTAAATGGTGCCAGCACCTCCTAACCTCTGCTACTAGAGAGGTAAAGGTCTCCTCGTGATCTACGGCATGAACTGGTCATTTCTAGATGGATAATTTGGACTCCACGGTCCGACAGACAGAACACAATAAAAACGCGTGACGGTAAATATTTATAAAGTATTGCTTGTCTGCAGCAATGTTACACATACCGCCTACTGGTTCCTAAACCCCCGTGTATATCGACACAATAGTAGTAAAGGACAAAGTGCGGGCTTATATGAAATTTTTATCGGTTCAATTTGAAAGACGTTGTTCCAGAAGATAAAATGGTTTTTTCAAAGGGCATCCTTTCCGAAAGAACCTACTTGGATAAGAAAACAATGATTTGAGTTTTCAAAGCTAGAATATCTAAAATCTGTAAACAAAAGACTCTGATAATAAACTTAGTAAATGCTGGCTATCAAGAATACAAAGACGAGAGCCAACCAGAGGATTACCTCTCGAGGCGCAAAAGTCGGAGCCCTCTCAGTATTTTGGTTAACTGTGTTTGCACCCAAAACGTCCATTTTTGATTTTCTAACTCCATCTTCCATAACAGCATCTAAACCAGTGTTTTCTTAAATGCACGATATTATTTATTTCCTTATATCACAACTTAATACTGCCTCGCACTTATTTTAACCAATTTAGGAGCAAGCAGACACTGAATGGAAATTCGCGCGGTCAAAACTGTGGATTAGCTACTTTGACGATGCTGAGATTTTACCGGTTCCATTCAATCTCATTCCGGGGCGTTCTACCCTGCAAATGTTGCTTGAAAAGTGTCGCTGCTGCAAGAGAGAGAACAATGAAGAAGATTCGCAAGCGGAGTGGCACACTGTCAAGGTAGGAAACGAGTAAGATCTGCAAAATGTAACTGATCTTCGTCCATTTTGAAGGGCTTCAACATAACGAAGTAGATCTAAAGCCAATAATTACCCCAGTCCATGTCAGATAACTAATAGGAATATCATTTTAGTTGGATTAGTTAACTACATTTAGTGAAAGGATATGGAGGTGCTGCTTGTTTTCCGTTTGTTCGTTTTGTCGTTGATCCTACGAGAATTTGTTGACTAAAATATGTATGAAAGTGGTACACACACACAAGTCCGATGCAGCAGAAACGAAGCTGCATATAAGCATTATGTCGCAAACCGAGAACATATATCTGTGTGGTTATCGTTAAGTGAAAAAAGGCGTCCGGTCGAATTCGGTTAGGGGCTGAATGTTCCGAAGGAA